GAAATTGGATGCTCTGAGGATGCGCATGCACTTACCGGCACCCATGGACTCTCCCCGGGTCGCGCGCGCGCGTTTTTACAATATATCTCGACCCTGCCCGGCGAACGGTCTTCCGCAACCTCGAAGGCCACATCTTGATTCTTGTACTTTCTCTACCACAGTCTTCAACCTCCAACAAGACCCTCCGCCCCCCGGCAGCTGCACCCAATAAGATTCGGGACTGTCAAACTGGTGTCCAACGCCCCTTATTCAAAGCTTTCGGTACAGTTCCTCGTGTCATTTTCCATCTGGACCTCTCAGCTAGAACGTGCCGGAACACTGGGGGCGACCTCTGGGACTTCCTTTTCCTCTCTACAATCAAAAGTTTGTCAGGATTATTCAGGATCCTGCTGTCTGTGGAAAAGTATAACGGATCTCAAGGAAGCAGTAGCGGTGCCTAGAATGACTTCAACTCAAACACTTTGTCTCCTCTACGGCTCCCTCCCCGGGCAGGTAAGGTAAAAGCTACTCTCCGGTGCTCATTTTACCACACACATGACTTGACCCAGTCGCGTTCAATAACCTCACATTGTACTGCAAAGACTCTCCAATCCACCGATGCGTCCTCGATCCTGCCCCTTCCAAGAATTCAAGGCTCAATGTCGCAAAGATATAGATATACAGGCTACAGCGTGACTGAGTTGAGTTTACTGCAAATTGTCATACATCCAGCACGTTGCGATGAATAACATCAGCGCGAGTTGGATATTCATCAAGATCTTGAGGGTCGCTGTAATATCCTCGTCGGTGGGATGCAGCGCCTGCTCGGAGTCCGAGTCTGTGTCCTCCGGGGATTGGATTGGGGACCCTGCGGAATGATCAGCCGGTGGTGAAATGTAGGTGTGTTGCTTACTTTTTGGTTCAACGCCAACGGTCTCACCGTCGACCCGATCCTCGTGACTGACTTGCTGGGTGTGTTGGCTGTCCTCCTGTTCATATTCCTCGACTTGGAAATGAAATCAGACAAACAGAATTCGGGTTGGATAGGTGACTCACCACGAGGATTTACGTTCCTCGACAAACAGAACAGTCGATCACCGAGATGTCGAGCAACATCTTGGCGCTCTGGGTCGAAGCCTTTCGCCCTGTGAAATTGCCGGAGACCAGCGTAGACACTGGTATCCCAGGACACTCCCTCAAGCTGGGTGGCCAGTTCCAAAAGCGGGAATCCGAGTTGTGTTGCCTCCTCTGTACTCAAACGCTCATCACCCGAGGCATCGAGGGACCAATAGGCAGGACAAGCCGGCCATCTGAACATTGTTGACGGAACTTGGAAATCTTGTTTAGGACAGAGAAAGAGGTAGCCCTGTGGACAGTTGCCTGACGGGTGGGAAACTGTGACCTTGAACTCGACTTCCAACAAGAGAACTATTGGAGGTTATCAAACAGGCAGTAATAGAAGGCATGAAACATACCATAATCCTCCAAATTAGATTCAATGTGCAGACTGCTGAAAACATAGTTTGCTTGAAGCAACCAACACGTGGGGGTACGCCGCGTATCTACAATGAGGACGATTTCCTTGTTGTATGAGTCATTGGCGTTGAAACTGTGGGGTTAAACCGCGTCAGGATACTATGGTGGTCGAACAAAAACTTAAATACCGGATCCAACCGTTTTCCATGAGATCTCCCGCCCCAAGGTCCTCAAAGAGCAATAGTAACCAACCCGGACAATGAAGAAGAGGCTCCGGTAAAGACGCAATTTCAACAACGTCCTGGTAATGAGCACGATCAAGCATAGGCCAGCAAATGATCGCTCCCAGTGTAACCGACTCGGATGCAGTGGTAGAGATGGACGTGAAGTGACTATGTAAAGAACATATGGTGTGATAATCCCTTAATGAGAGGGACTGAATAGCCATAGCCTCGTAGTTGCTTGGATCAAAGGGAGTCGGTCTCAGTGGGTCCACTGGTATCCTGGTATCTAAATCAAGTTTGTTGTCCCGATCTGGGGGTACAAGATCGGCGGAGATGCGTCCGGTTGAGGAGCGTATCCAGAAGGTGCAAAACCATGGGTCCTAGGACCGTTTAGCCCACACTACTATTCATATACAAGCCTGAGACTTACAACATCCCATTGAAGTTCTGAACGCAGATAATCCTTTGCCTGCTGTAAGTGAGAGTTGACAATGCTTCTGAGATCACAAGCCAATCTGTATACCTTCCACTCGTTTGTCTCGTCGAAAGTTACAGCTGTTTGCAGAATTGATGACAGTCACTGAAAATAAAATGAAAAGAAAACTTTCAGTGCACTCACTTGCAGCGCGCATTTCTCGATCATTTCTCTTTCGATCTTGTTGGTTGTTTTTGCACTACCAAGAACGTAAACCAGCCTTTCGAACCGTACCCTATTGTTAAGTTAATTCAAATAGCTTACTGGGCCAAAAATCACGCCAGGTGGTTCACCCTACGGGTTGTTTCATTCACAGCTCACTCATTTTTCAACCAATCCCCGTGATTTTGGACAGTTGTGACGCTAGCATGGTGGCAATCAATTAGGACGTCTCAAATTCCGTCGGCACAATTCGGCATTGGCGGCAACCCCTGATTGAGAGGATATTCTGAGAACAAGGTCGCGCAAGGTTGCCTCATGAGAAAAGCATTATGTCTGCACATATATGCATTCTCCCATTCTCCACCTTCTGGATACACATGGACTCATCAAAATCGGATCAAAATTGAGTGATTATTGATCAATTCAACATCGAGGGAGTAACACTGGGAGCAATTTTTGGCTTCCTTGGAACTCTCAATTAGAAGACCAGAATTATACTGAACTGTAGCCCCGCTTCTGCCGTTCTTAGCACAAGTCAAATGTCAGAAATCGGTTGAGATTTGGGTTCGAAACGAGCCCGGCAAAACGACGGATCAAGGATCTTTGATTGTTTGCTTTCGGGCCAACTGTCATCCATTCTGCAAACAGCTGTAATATCGTGAGCAGGCTGATTATAGAAACACATACAAAGAGAGCATACAGATACACCGCCACTATGGGTGAGAACGTGCTCACGTATTGCTTGAAGGGAACCAAATCTGAGGGCTCCACATTTCAGCAAAGGTCAGGAAGAGAAGGCAAAGGTTCATTGCACACCACCATGAAAGATCGTGGCGTGGATATTCCCATAACTTGCTCCAGCATAGATCTGGATAATGTTTGGGTGACTGGAAAGGAGTCAGCCCCAGTAGCAAAGAGAGGTAGCTTCAACTTGCTGCATCAACATATATGTTTCAATATCTTGGTGCCAATCCTGTTACATCGCGAGTTAGTGCACTGAGGAAAGAAAAATCATTCACTCACTTTGTCAGCTCCATCTCCTTGATACACGGCTACTGTCATATCCGAAGCTCGACCGTCCACTTGTGCACAGTAGACACGGCGGGCAAAGTTGTTTTCATGTCGGTAACCAACAACACCCGATTCCTTGTTCACCAGTAGTTCTCGTTGGAGGTCGATGTCTCCCCATGGAATCATGCGGAAGTCTTGGAGGGTCAGTCGGCCTGGTGAAATGCATGGAACAAATGGACACCAACCAGGTGGATCGGCTGATGGCATCATAGTTGTTTGTAGTGAAAGTTCCACCCGTGACGGTGAAGTGCTGTGCATTCGGAAAGATACCACCGCCATTTCTGTGAGGCTTGAGTTAGGACCCAGTGTTGTGAGGAACAGCTCACGAGGTGAATGTGGGTTCCTCCGAGCCTGTTCCAGGGATGTATCCGTTGTGGGGATCCATGGGCATGAATGAGTGGAGATGGTGGGAGGGAAAGAGATATCGGACATCCAACAGCTGTGGTGCGCCTATAAGAAGGGGCTAAAAAAAGCACCGTGACGAGAATGCGCGTCTGGCACACAACACCGAAATAGATGATATCACATAAACATTGGTGGGGCATTCACATCACATCCAGCACCTCCTCAAGCTCCATCTGCATCATTGAGCCAAGGCCTCCGCTGTGTATGCTGGGGCAATAGTCCCAATTTTGGAGGACAACACCACAACACACCACAACACCCAAAGTGCCGCAATTAATCTGTCAAATCACTGATGTGGAACTTGCTGCTGCCACTATCTTATACATGAAAAGGCAGACTATCACTCCGCGCGGCCACGTTGACGACATGACCCTTGATCAAGCATGTGTGACTTGAGGTCTGAGCAGCTGGCAGGGTTCGGTTCAGTTCAGGTTTGGGTTCATGCGTGATGACTGAACCCCGAACCTTAACCTGTGTTCGTTCGGTTCGGCGTTCAAAACATGTTCGAGGCTCAGCAAAATCAGCCTCCTCGGGGACTCAAATTCCGGCGAGAAGGACATATATATATACCTATTTCACCCCGCTGACCCATTCAGTGAGGTTGGGATGATATGCTGGATCGACCTGCCAATTAGAAAAAAGTTGAAAGTTGAACATTTGTCCGCAATAATTCAATCTACATCCGGGCCGTCAAATCCAGTGCCTAGGGTCAAAGGAGCCGAGGTGCTGAGACTGAGTCTCAAAATGACTGCTGAAAACTGCAAATCCCACCAAAATCCACTTACCATGAGGGATTTCAGGGTTCAGGTTCTGAAGGCCCTCCAACACACAAACACCGAAAGCGAACGTGGTGTGTAGTTCAGACTGTGGCTGGTGGTGGAACCTGGATGTGGTGTCCGGTCCAATTTGGTTCAGGTTCAAACCAATACTAATTTGAACTGAACCTTGCCAGCTCTAACACATGAGCACTTGTATACTTTTATGGATCAAAACAGCATTACCAACTGATGCAAGTCATCAACTGCCCCAGGTTCTACACCGCTATCATGGGCCCTGTCACCTTCCCAGGTATGGTCAGGTTTATCTGGCACCCTTCTCAAACCTGTTGATTTGTCTCAACTTCTGCGACTCAACGGCGCTCCATTTCAAAGAACTTGCTCCTGCCATTATTTTCCGCCCTGTGCCGTTGTTGTACTTTATAGTACATGTCCGAATTGGTGTAGGGGTTAACATTGCCGCCTCTCATTCCAATTACGTAAGCATTCGCGAGCGTAATCTGGGTCGCGGCAGCCCGGGGTTCGATTCCCCGATTCGGAATTTTTGCCTCCGCTAGAGCCTGTTTATTCTGGCCCAGTTGCTTAACCATTCCCCCTGTTGTGTCCGACCTGCTTGGGAACAAGCCTGTTGAGCCAGCTTGAGGGAAGTCTTTCTACCAGAGCGTCCTAAGTCCTGCCCGGAAGGATATTTTACATGTTGAACCAGGAAGTTCAACACGATCATTCCGCTCTTGAAAGCCGACTCGAGTTGGCGAGTTTATGTTCCAATACAGCTCTTATACCTTCCAAATATGCGTAGGAGGCTGCTCGCCGAGCCGGGGATTTGTTCGTAATTCCTTCTGCTTGGTCGATCTTGGTTGTGGGCCAAGATGGGGCAAACTTGAACAACTGGTAAATATTCAAGTGCTCACTCGAGTACCTTTGCAGACATGAAGCCACAAGCACTTGATGAAGAGTGGCGTCATTTGTGAGGGTGCCAACACGCAATGTGCTAAAGCGAATGTGAACAGTTGAATTCAACTTTCGAGGTCGATCGGCGGTTGACGTTGAATAGTAATAGCACATCCCACCGATATCTCACTGAGCATACTTGAATGAAGACCGCATCCGTCAAGGAGTTTCGGTGTTCCAGTATGCCACTTGTGTGTTCGGAATCCTCTTCCGATGTTCCCTAAATCCAGTGCCAAATTTCAGAAGATTTGACCCCTACACCAATTCGGATGTTCAGGTTTTCCGCTGCCATAGTGAGCCAACATCACCTTACACACCTCTTTCTTTCTTTCAATATTACAGCTCCATGCTTTTCTGCTCCGGTGGCCAGGAACTCCTCCGTCGTCCCTAGTCGCTGAGTCGATCCTTGATACAGCTAATTTCAACCACGCCTGCGCCAGGCACAATTCCGTTATGAAATTTGGGTTACGGCACAATGTAGTCAGAATGCGGGGAGCCCACCAGTATGTAGGTATGTATGCTTGAAAAGTCCGAGTGCCTGCCCAGAAGCTAACTCTCGACTTGGTTGAGATTGTCTCGTTATCCGTTATCAGCTCAATTGAAGCTATATCCATCAGGTAAGTAGCCCTACCTCACACTCATCCAAAACCCCCCTTCAAACCCACCCGGATCAAATTTTAATCTTTACACAGTTTAGGAATTTTGACCCCTACACCAATTCAGGTCCATCAAACTTTTCACCGCTCAGAAATTTTAACCCCTACACCAATTCGGGTCCATCACAGGGCGGCAATTTTAACCCCCGCACCAATTCGGACATACCCAGACGAAATTTCAACCACTCGGAAATTTTGACCCCTACACCAATTCGGGTCCATCACACGGCGGCAATTTTAACCACCCGGACGAAAGAAACCACTCAGAAATGTTGACCCCTACACCAATTCGGGTCGGGTCCGACGGTGGCAACGTTAACCCCCGCACCAATTCGGACACCCGGACAAAATTTCAACCACTCAGAAATTTTGACCCCTACACCAATTCGGGTCGGGTCCGACGGCGGCAACGTTAACCCCTGCACCAATTCGGGATCTTAATCGATTGCTCAAAAAGTTTAAACTGCCTCCCAAACAATTTGCATACGTGTCATTCAACCCCACAGGTATATTACCATCGTTCCTTGGCGTTGAACAGGTTGACCCCTGCACCACTTCGGGTGGCGTCGATCGCGGGCAAAGTCCAGGTCCTAAGTGTCTTTATTCGTAGCGGGTTGTGGAGTCCCGCGCCCCAGGTTTCACCCAGCCTGCCGCGGAGCGCGCAGCGTATTTCATCACTTGCTCGGATGTGTGGCCTTGCAGAAAGGTCGTACGTAGGTAGCATGTTCAATTAATGAAAACTGGCGGGAGCAGGTTCCTCAGCTAGGCTCGAGCATCGTGGGCATGCGTGGCTCTACCCAGCTGCCAAATTCCATCCCGAGAATACGCAGGGCTGCGCTGGAGGATTTGAACCGTGGTAATTTTAAATTAGTACACCGGCCTTCTCGGCGTTGTTCAATTTGGCGCCGCTCCACATTGCTCAGTGCTTAATTGGTCGAGTTCGACACTAGAGCAGGAAATCGGGCGATGAGACTTGAAGTCTAGATAACAGCAACGTTACGCCGCCTCGAGCTCCATTTTCTGGCGTTGAGCGGGTTGACCCCTGCACCAATTCGGGTGTCGTCGATCGCGGGCAAGGCTCAATCATCCTTTTAGCTTTATTCGGAGCGGGTTCGGGAATTTCCCACAGCAGGACTGTGCAACGCTCGGAGTCTCCGCGTAGTTCATTACTTCGTCGGGACTTGACGGACGGACTTCATCGCCGCTCACGCAAAACGCGACTCGTCGCCTTTTCAATTTGCTGGATTAATGTGAGGGCGCTGGAGGAGCAACCTTCTTCAGTTGGCCTCGGGCATGGAGGGCATCGAGCTTTAGTACGGCCATCAACTTTCGTTCCGAGGATACGCTGGGCTGCGCTGGAGGATTTGAACCGTGGGAAGTAATTCGGGCTCCTCGGCGTTGTTCACTTTTCGAGCAATACTTGGGCGGTGTCGTTCAGCGTTCAACTCCCTTCTATTTTGGACTCAACCACCAGCCGGCTGAATGATTGGCTTCCGTGGCACCTTTCATTGCTTTAGGTCGAAAAATTCGGGGATGGGAGTTTCAAAACGTATGCAGCCAAAACGAACTATGTACATTCCGGAAAAACTTGTATCTATCTCCAACCCTCGCCCCAAATCACCTCACCCACTCCCAAACCCCTCCACATGCAACACCACACTCGGCCCCCCACGCAACACGTCCAGAAAGCGCGCCCACATCCCGGCCCGGAGTGCCTTTCGTACCCCGTCTGCGAGCTCGGCGGTGCCGCATACTGCGAACGATGTTACTATCAGTAAGGAAAGAAAGAAAGACAAAACAGAATTGAACAAAAGAGGACGCACCACAAACCCCCACCGCGCCCTCCCCTTCCCCCTGAATCTCCCCACCCAGAATGGCGCCAAGGTCCGGCCGTCCGTGCACCAGGCGGACGGTGGGGTGCGCGAGGAGGCGTGTTTTCGCTGAATCTACTTTGCCAGCCTTCGTTCCGCCGTTTTGATTCTGCAGGATGGGCGCGGCCTTTTCGTCCGTCGTATCCGCAGAGTCAGCGACCGCGTCTGCCTCCACTTTCTCGGCAACTACAGCTTTCTCGAGCGCAGACTCGTCATCGAGCGAAGCGTCATCGTCGAGCGCCTGCGTGTCCTCCGGCGCGGAGGTGACATGAAGCCTGACTATAATATCGATTCCCAGCTCGTCGCCCATATTTCTTGCAGAGGGAAGCGCCGCCAGGAGGGCGTCTGCGATCCATGTTATTTGGTCTGGGCGGGCGTCGTGGTGTCAGTGTGTTGCAAAAGGGTTGGGGGGAAATGGGGAAAGACGCACCAGGCTCCCTTATCGCCCAAACGAACACGACGCGCCGACAGCGCGGGTTCGCTCCGCGGGCTGCACTGCAACCCCAACCCAACACAAAAACTCTTCATCAGTACTCCGAGGAGAGGGAAAGGAGGGGGAGGAGGGAGCGACGCACCCAACGAGCGAGAGGAAGAGCGGGAGGGCGAAGGAGACGCCGGAGCCGCCTGCCGTGTAGGTTCATTTCGTTAGTGGAGGAAGAAGTGGAGGAATGGAGAGGAGGTAGGAAAGCAAAGGGACGCACCACAAACGAACACGACCCTTTCATACCCGCGCACGTCCGGCGGGGCGCCATAGGGCCCGTCTATGAGGGCGCGGGCTACCAACGTCGGCTCCAACTCCTTGCCACCCTCGATAGACGATGCGCCCTCCTCGTTGCTGTTGCGCGAATCGGGAGTAGCAGAAGACGCGGAAGAGGCGGAAGCAGAGGTAGGTAAAGTGGACGCCAACACCGCCTCCCTCAACCTCCTCGTAAACCCCGTCCTTACCCGCAATATGAACACCAACTCTCTCCCCCCTTCCCCACCTCCTGTGCTTTCTCCCGAAGAATCGGGAGGCGGATTCGCGATCGTAAACGGATGCGCCTCCGTCACCGAGCCCATATACAACGAGGGGAAGGTGATATACGCGCTCTGCCCCGCGCGCCAGCGGAAGCGCGGCGGCGCGCGGGGGAGGGTGATCCGGAGGAAGTGGGCGGAGGGGGGGAGGAGGGTTATGAGGGCGGGGGAAGTTAGGGTGCTCTTGCTGTTATCGTTGGGCTGGAAGAGAGAGGGAGGGGAGGTCAGTCAGTCGGGCCGAAGCGGAGCAGAGGCGCAGCTGGCAGAGGAAGAAAGCACGGGCAAGGTGAAGAAAACGACGGGGGAGAAAGAAAGGAAGGATAAGGATGGGGAACCGGAACCGGAACCGGAAGGGCAAGCGGAATGAGGCGAGCAGGAAAGGCGGAGACGTACCCCCGTTGCAAACAAATTTGGGAACAACCCCGAATTGACGAGCCCAATCCTCACTCCGCGCAGCGCGCGGTCGAGCGCCCACAAAAAAACTGCGGGCCAGATGTAGCTTGCGTATCTGCGGTTGGGTTCGATGTCAGTATCAGAATGTTAGAACGGAGCGTGAAGATGGGGGAGGTAGCAGTAGTAGTGGTACTGTGAAGCGGAAAGCGGGAAGCAAAGAGACAGGGCGATAAAGTGAAGCGCCCGAAGGCGCTTGCGTCCGAACGGAAGGTGAAGGTAGGTGTACGCGTTGGAAGGGGTATGAGGAGTATCAGAATGAATGTTAGGGAGGGAGCGCGAGGATAATCGTTCGCGAAAAAAAGCGGTAGTAGTGGTACTGTTTCCCCTCCACGCGGAACGCCAAAAAAAAACACAGAATACACGAAACACGCACCCAAACTCCCCCGCATGCGCCCACGCCCCCGCCAGCGCCAGCGCGCCCAGGCCCAGATGCAGCCAAAGGAAATATTCGTATGCTCGCGCGCGGAGGGGTCGGACGGAGAGCACGCAGAGGAGCGTGAGCGCCGAGGCGCCCACGACGCCGATGTGGAACCAGTATGTGGACGCGTCGTCTCCCAAACTACGGCGTAGCGCAAATTTGATTAATAGCAGAAGGG